CTACGATTGTGTACCTCTATGGGAATTATGGAAATAAAGGCTTCGGATTGGATAGAGTTACATAGACATGTCTACAGATTTTTTTTCTATGATTAGAGTTTCGTTCTGCACGGAAATCCCTTTGTTGTTTCGATAAGGCTGACAACCACTAGACGTCCTAATTTGCTGCGACGTTGGAGCTTTATGAGTCGGACTTGGACAGTTTAAACGAAGCGTCGTCCACTTATTGCTGCACATAGATGTAGCGTTTCATGCTAATGCAGGATATTGCATCGAGTTTGTTTTTTCACAAGCGCGTCTTGCTTAAACTCGTTCGAATCGACTGCAAACGACGGCAAAGCTAAGCAGATGCGCCGTCATGCTCCTCTGAATCGACTTCAGAACAAAACGAGAGGTGCATTGGGGGAAGATCACTTGGACCGGCACACCCATAACATCGTATCGGACGAACCATTAAGTGTTTCTCACTTGATACTGCACTGTTATATCCATAAATACATAATACATATTTTTGAGAGAAAAAGAAGCATGCTTGTTTTCAAGTGTTGTAGAAAATAAAAACTAACTCATAATTTCTTGATGCCAAATCTGGATCGCAATGGCAGAGCGATGCATACCCTGATGGTTGAATTTGCCCAGGTTTCACTTTTGCCGCCTGGTCACCAAAAGTTTTTGCAATAAAGTTTGAATATAAATAATGGAAGGAAGTTTCACTTAAATACAACTTCATATCACTTTGTTTTACACTCGGAAAAGAAGCGTCGCGAATCTCAAGAACGTAATTAATCCGAAGCAGACTCGAAGCCTGTACTTCCCATAATTCTCATGGGGGTACAAGCGCCGCTGAAGGAGCCCGCGTAAAGTCCCTGAAAAATAACTTATGTAGCGGCTTTCGTGTCAATGTGCAGGCTTTTCTCCTCTCGATGCATAGCAGATATTAAACGAAGGTAGTTGAGCGTAGAGTTGTGCGCCAAGGGGTTGGCGCGCCACCGCCAACTGTTTTTGCTACACCCTTGCCGCCGAGGTGTTTTCTCGGCACGCTGTTTCAATACGATTTTTTTTTTGTTAAACTACGTTTATATTGCACCTTCTGTCACCAGTCCGGCCTTTCTTTTCTGTCCGCTTCGCAAATGCATCGAAATTGATTCACCTGCCATTTCAAGTTAAATAAGCGGACTATAAAAAAAACTTGTCTAGTGCTCCTAATAACGTATAACGATAGTGTTAGATAGATTTAAATGTGTACTTTAAGATACTTTTAAGTTCACTGTATTTCAGCGAATCCCGGTCAGTTGGAATGGTGGTGTTTGGCGAGGACTGTCTGCATATTCTAGCTGACGAGAATATGTAATATGTGAGGCGGGCTTTGAACAATGATGGAAGGTGTGGAAAGTCTGTACTGGAATATTTATAATTATGACTGTGCAAGTGAGTCGAAGAACAAAGGCAGTTCAAATGCGAAGGGCGGAGCCAGATCTCGGGACGGGCAGGGTAGAAGCGTGATGTGCAAGGAAGATTGAGGAAGGGCTAACTGTTTAGGGCATATATAAAAAAAATTAGTTAAGAAACTGGATTACGTACATGGCTTTTCATGAACAAAGAAAGGTAAAATTACAATTAATATACGAAATGCTCTCTCAGACAGAAACGATCCACACCGTAGTCGGCAGGCTGAGTAAGATCAACAATATTGAACGAGATGGTGATCACCATAAATTAAGTTAGGGTGAACTGTGAAGTAACGCACAGAAGATGAATGCAGACAAAACACTGAAGCGTGGGCTTGTATTTTCAACGTGCTTTGTCCTTCACACTGTGCGATGCTCCACGCCGCGCTATCACACGAAGTAATCTGCCTCTCCTTCACCAGTTTTTATCTCAGAGTTAATTCAATTCCCTATAGATGCCGATTTGTCACAACCGTGTTTAAAAAAGGACACCACATATGTAGCTGGCTCGGCGAGTTGGTTTATAAAATTTTTGGAAGAGCGAACTAAGGAGCTCAACCTGATAGGACATCGAGCGAAATGTTTATGGCGGAAGGTCCACAAACCCATGTACCAGAAGCGCATTCATAAAAAATAGGCTGAGGCGTTCCACAGCTGCACACCTAACTCTACAAAGGCAAGAAGCGTGTCCAAGTGGTACTAACAGCACACTTCCATGACCAACGCCACGTGCATCCGCTATCTAGCAACGGGAATTCCTTATCTAGCTTTAAGGACACCTGAAGGATCATTTACATATGCGTTGCACTTTGCCCTTTTTATTTTCAAGGCTTCAAAATCTTCATGTTTATTCCATTTCTTCCTTTTCCGATGACACTGATATATCGCGGATGCAGAGACTAGCGAAGATGTCGGTTTTGTGACTGAAGGATTTTCGCACTGCCCATAGGTGTCAGCAAGCCTCAACCAGTCTGATCTCTGTAAAGACGGTTGCAAGACGCAAGAAAAAAAAAAAAAGACTGAATGCAAAACTCGTGAAGCCTTCTAAATAAAAACAGAGTGAAGTGTCAAGTGTGATGATTCCCCAGCTTTCCTCACAGATAAAGGACTTACGGTATAGAAAGCGGGTACACTTGGCACTGATATTTTGGTGTCCCAAGGAAATCAGCTGCTTATACCATCTTAAAACATTTGTTGCAAAAAATGTAGGGTTGATTGTGTATCTGTGGCTTAGATATCCCTTTTTAAGCAAGTGCTTCTGGTTAATTTGTGTAGGGGCCTTCTTTAAAAACATTTAGTTGTAAGCCCTGCACTTTTCTTTCCTGGTTCCTACGCTGCATTCGTGTTTTTTGTTGGTTTCTTAGATGGGTGAAGATCATTCCTATTATTATCATGCGAGCATAGCAACCACCCTTTCTCACTCTCCCATATTTCACTATAGTGAACGCACACAAAAAGGTCGTCATCAACGCGTCACGTGATTGGGAGATGTGTCCCAATTATAAGTCGGCAAACTCACTGATGAGTCAATCAGAGGAATTGAAGACTAAGATTGAGATGTGAGCCAGAGTTCGAGTGAGACCGGCTGAGTTTTACCACGGTGAGTCTGAGTTCGACCGAGTACGATTCAGCAAAATTTTGGTTAGTGTGGGTTCTTGTGAGTCCTATGCGAAAAAAAAAAAAACTTTTTTAATGAGGGTGTCTTTTTGTTTTGCTGACCTCTGGTTATAAATACTTTTAGTCTCATTTTATATCGTGCATGTTCCTGCTTGTAAAGCCACAAGATTTATTTTCCAAATTGTAAATCTGTCCAACTCCCCACACCCTTGCAACTTATTCCAGTGAAGGCTCTTAATGAAAACAACTTGCCCATATCTTCGAATAAGTATGATCACTTTAAAACTTAAAGGCGCGGAATGAAACGGAATGAAACGGCACTACAAAATGCCCCACTGAGATGAGATAACATTAAAATGCTAACACGACTGAGAAGATAATGTATACTGCCCATTTCCAACGTGCACAGCTATTTGTAACTTTGTCTGCAGAGTATTTAGTCATGGAGCAATTGCCGTTTGCGGCAGCAAGATTTCACAATTTGAAGTTTGAATTTCCAAAAAGATGTTAGAAGTTTCTCCTAAAAAACCCGCAATTTTTGGTGATGTAATAGTGATTTTGTGCGTCGCACTCGCTTCAACTTTAGTGCTAATAGGTAATGCATTTATAGAGTACACCGTTCACCGACTATGACAAAGTATAATGAGCAATTTAAGTTTATCCATGCTACAAAGCTCATATGATCTTTCCTAAAAGAACGTATATCGAATTTCAATAATAATGAGAAAAAAATACTGAATAATTATTCGTAACTCCATCATTGTGTATCTACTGTAATTCACAGTTGTTCAAAATGAATGAACATGGCTTTAAGAGGGCATGGAAGTGGGTTATAAAGCATGTTCTGGCGCATTAGCAGTTCCCGGGAATCTCATTAGGCAACATCTTGATTTACATTGAGTTTGATCTACAATTATGTACCAAATCAAAAGAGAATGAGCACTGTATTTTACCTTCATAAATCATGCGGCTTACAAGGCGATAGAGCAGCACGATTTGCGAGCATCGAGTGCGCCTTCGCTCTTTCAAATACCTGTCCTCTGACGCCGCTTCCGTTTTTGCATGAATAATTGGGGCTAATTGAAAATTACGGAGTGCAAAATAAAATATTCACAAGAACGAGAAAAACAGCACGGGCACTTGTGAATGCACTGTCGATGCATTGTTTTGCACTAAAAAAGTTTCCAATAGAAAAACACCATCTCAACAAATTTCAAGTTTTGTTAAAAATGTAGTGAACACACATGCTATCAGCTTTTACATCATTTCCTGCCATGTGATACGTTGAAAGCTTTTCGAGTGGATTTCAAGAAGACAAGAAGCAGGAACACACCGCTCCTCCCGTGCGCAACGGTTAGTTACTAGAAAAAATAAACCCCTTAAACTGTAATGCTGTCAAATATTTTTCGTGACTCCCTCAGAACTTGAGGTGCTTCTAAACATATTGCCAGCATGTCTGATATTCAGGACTCCGTACCGACACAGGAAAGCAGTGCCCGTTTTTCTTATTTTTTTTTTTCTTTTTCTTTCTCATTCAAACATCTCTCCATCCATAATGAGATATGACACGCAGAAAACTTTCGGCAGTTCGTCATTCGTCATTGTGTTCGCCCAGTCCATTCTTCGAAAAGCTTGACGACACGGGCATTTCCCAGGCTCAAGTTACTCAAACCTAAGCTTTTGCATTCTTTGTATGCCCCAAGCAATGCAGACAGGCTAAAAAAAACAGCAATGAACTCTACACACTGGGTTCAGGGTGTGCAGCACCCTGAACCCAGTGTGTAGCATCTGTATTACCTCAAAGCTGAACATTTGGCAGAAAGAAGAATGTTGGGATAACAAAAAAAATGGAAAAAACAGAAAACTCCAGCCAATATTTATATTAGGAAACCCGATGTTTGGAAGCCTGATCAGTTTTTTTTTTTTTTTTTTCAGGGGTGAGAAGGCCCGAGATGTTCGCCACGACTCGTTGCAAGCCCTGGAAGTAGAGCGAGGGCAGTGTCTCCAGTGATGCTCTCGTTGTCTCTTACTGTCTGCTGACTGCGCCAGAATTCAAAGGGGAGCTGCCGGTGAAGGTTTCTTTCTGTTTAGAAGATCACCGCGCCGTCGAAACTGGTATGGTGGCCAACCCGCTTACAGTGTTCTGCCTCTGCACTACGTTCACTGTTCATTTGACGGAAGTCATTCCTGTGCTGTCATATTTTTTCATGGAATTTCTTTGTTTAGCCGGCAATCGCGATTTTGCACATGACGGCCTGTGCTCTGCCTGCAGGTGCAAGGTCTTTCCACCAGTGGATGAAACTACCTATGGTGATAGAAGGCTTGTGGCAACGTTGACTCCTGCCTTTATAACTTCGCTGGCGCGCACAATGTAGCTGATCGACAAGTGGCGTTGTTGCAGCGCGGTTGTCACATTTTCTCCTTTTTTATTAGGTAGGGCTCTGCTAATAAACGCCTTTCTAAATAAATGTTGGTGCTGAGATAACGGATTATTTTCTCCCTTTCACTGCTGTGGTGACGAGTGGTTATCAGATGATTGATATTTTGATTGAGGTTTTTACGTTTGTTCATATTTCTTCATTCTGGTCCCAAAAGGTGATTTCGAACATTTATGTACGTGTATAGTAGCTTTTCAGGGGAAGCTTGCAGTAACTGATCTGGAAGGCTGGTAAGATCAGGTAAACTCGTTTCACTTACAATTTATTGATATGATTGATATGTGAGGTTTAACGTCCCAAAACCACCATACGCTTATGAGAGATGCCGAGGTGGAGGGCTCCGGAAATTTCGACCATCTGGGGTTCTTTAACGTGCACCCAAATCTGAGCACACGGGCCTACAACATTTCCGCCTTCATCGGAAATTCAGGCGCCGCAGCCGGGATTCGAACCCGCGACCTGCGGGTCAGCAGCCGAGTACCTTAGCCACTAGACCACCACGGGAGGGCATTTCACCCACAACTGGCAAGTACAACACAAAGCTTAGGGGAGGGGGGGGGGGGTCATGAGAAGGCATGAAGGTAGCACAGCAAGATGAAAAAAAAAAAAAAAAAGGATCTTTTGCGCAACGAAGCGTTGCTAAAGCCTTTGCAGCAGCCATTTATCTTTACGACTAACTCCACTTCCAGTCCTACATTACGCCCTATGCCCCCCCGTCCCCAACACACTGTGATAGGGGATAAGACTGGTGCCCATCATAAATAGCCTCCCCCCCCCTCTTTTTTTTCTTTTTGGACTTCATGAGCAAAAGAGAAATGTCACTTTTTTTTTTTACAACCCACAGCTGGAAAGTCCGAAAGCTCGAGTGCGCGAGGATAATTCTTGAGGTCCTGGTTCCACAGAGTGCTGAGTGAGATGGGACGCAGACTGGTTCTCGCATGAAGGAAAGGACATGTCGACAAGGCTTTGCTGAAAGAACATATATTAGATATGTATGCTGAAAAACAAATGATTTACGGAACGTTTGCCAGTCCTCTTACATCTCCATGTTGTTTTCTCCGACACTACTAATAAAAGTACTGAATTTCAGCTAAATAAGCAGAGAAGACACAGTAAAGTAGCATCCCCGCCGCAGTGGTCTAGTGGCTAAGGTACTCGGCTGCTGACCCGCAGGTCGTGGTATCAAACCCCAGCTGCGGCGGCTGCATTTTGGATGGAGGCCGAAAAGTTGTAGGCCCGTGAGCTCAGATTTGGGTGCACGTTAAAAAACCCCAGGTGGTCGAAATTTACGAAACCCTTCACTACAGCGTTTCTCATAATCATATGGTGGTTTTGGGACGTTAAACCCCACATGTCAATAAATCAACAGTAAAGTAGCGTTGTTTTTTTTTTTTTTTTGAAATTGTAGTTTTGGTTTCCACGCTGCTGCCGAAAAGTGGCTGTGCGCTGCCGCCGATCAATTTTCCTGGCGCGCTTCGCCGCCGTCGCCTCGGAACAGCCCCAACGCTGTCACCAATCAAAGCAGCCTTGGCGCACACCTCTAGTTGAGAGGCTGTATGGCTCCTGGTAGCAAAGATCAGCGCGTGCTCACCTTTCCGTTAGTGCTCATTTGGGCACTCCAGTTCTAGGCGATGCACCGATAGAGTTATTAAGAAAAAAATATGAAAAGCAACGTTAAATAGCAAACACGCAGTACACAATGCGATAGCCCACCGTTTGCGTGCAGATACACTCAGCGGTGACGCTCTCGAAGAAAGCACCACTGCAGTTCGTGTAAACTCGGCCGTGTTAAGAATCTGCAGCATGACGCACTAGTTTTTGTGAAGATATCCCAAACGCCATATTGCTTGTCCACTTTCGCGAGCGCGTGCTTCACGAACAGACGCCACCGGCGTACCCTTTCAGCATACCCGAGGCATGGCCGCTCGAACACACGGTGCAGCAGTGCCCGAGCTGCCCAAGCGTCTGGCAAATCCAGTGCGCCCCCGTGTTATCGCATTGGTGTTTTCCTGGTGGACACTCTATAAACGCTGCTGTGGTTGCTGGAAGAGGAGGTAGAGGCAAAGGGGTGCGATTGGCACTACTTTAGTTTTTTTTTTTTTTAACACCAGATGCTCCTCTAGATATATAGTATGAACTCTATGCAATCCTCCAAGCAATGTCCCCTTTCCATTCCGACGTAACGAAAATATGGAATGATTACAGAATCATTCCAATTCCGGAATGGGAACTCTGCTACACTGCTCGTAAGGAACACGTTAAAAAAAAAGTGATTACGCACATTAAAGCACTCAGATTTGACCGAGTTTACAAACACGCAGAAACGCAATCGTTACTTGATCCAAAAATCAAGTCAGCAAGAGTGGCACGTTAAATGCTATAGTTGTAGAGAAGTGCTGCCGACTCAAGCGAAATTTCCCTAGATTTAGGGGATTTTGTTGCACTTAGGGGAAAAGAAAAATTTGTCAACATCTAGGGAAATTTTTTTTGCTTCCACGTGAACCAAGCATGTCAACGGAGGAACCTTTTGCCCACACCCTATTTTTTGTTCCTTCATCCATCTGTTCTCTTTTACAACCCCTCTACTTTGTACTATGACATTTTTCCACCGTCAGCACGGTAATTTCAGCGAATACTTTCAAACGAATGCACCATTATATCATAAAATGCACTTTGAAATCGTTTTCCACATAACAAACACATTAGTCTTCAAAAAACCTCTCTCTACGAAAATCTAGGAAATTAATTGACTCCAACAAGGAAAAAAGTGGCTCCGCTAGTTGGCAGCACAATACACCTCAGACTCTTGAGTTTTGCGGACATACAGCACAACCTGTCGACGCAGTTTTGAGTAGTGCAAAGCCCGACTCCCGGTGCAACTAACATGTAGGAAACAACAATTGAACTTAAAATTACATGCATTTGCGCATTGAACAATCAGAAAAAGGGCTACAAATTTCTCTTCGTTAGTCGAACGCGTCACCGAACCGTCGTGAAGTGCATGCTGGTTCACTCGCCTGATTGACGGCAAAAACAAGAGCAGACGCAAAAGCTCCGCGCTTTACGAAAAAAGACACCAGTATGCATTACTGCTGCGTTGTGAGTTGCCACAGACGGAAATGAATTAGTTTAACTGACTTCCCCAGCTTTCACAAAGCAGATTGGCGAAAGCGCTAAGTACAGGCCGTTTCGAACATGTTGGTAAGTGCATTACTTGCGTTCTCCACAGCCGTTCACTTGAGTAAGTGTGATAATGTAGGTCTCCTATTACTCTTTTGAGTAGCCTTGACAGAGAACCGTGGTAACTTTGATTATGAAGCTTAACAGACCCTCCGACCGCAGTGCGCGGCGTGCAACGATAGACAGGTGATGCCTCGATAAGCATCGCGTACGCCGTGAGCACCGACAATCTGAAGTTGTTGCCCCCTCACAACATTACGCACGTAGAGATTTGAAGGCTCTATAAGTTCCGGCTTTAACTAGGAAATGTGCATCATACAGCTAAATCGCAAAATGATCGCGACTACAATCAGTTTTTTTTTTTGCCATTGGTTTTTGTGGTTACCGGAGCTATTACGGATGCATCGGTACTGCCTTTCGTTGTGCACTGAGAAAGTGGACAAGCATGTAGCCTCATTTGCAGTATGTACAAAGAGAAGACAACCGTTTTACCCAGCATTTAACCAGGACCAGATTTAGAGTATACAGAATGCAAGCTGGAGTGCTTGCCTCTAACTAGATGTCATGCGATGCTTGCACTTAAATTGCCAGTTACAGCACGCCAAAATAAATGAAATATCTTCTGCATTGTGGACGCATTTCGTTTTGATGAGCTTCCTACCTTTATGCAAAAAGGTTGGACTGAAGAGAGAAGCTTGTCAGGTCCTTGATTTTCAGAACGAAGTGCCTAGCGTCACATCTAGACGCAACGATGGAAGCCGTTAAAGTTATGTCCAGATGTAACAATAAGACATGTTAGAGTTACACCCAGCGTGACAACAATAAAAAACCGGCTGGTTAAACTCGCCGAAACCAATCGGCAGAAGTGGCATAGTCGGCTAATGCAGCTCACGCACGACCGTGGGGTTGTTGGTTCAAGCCCTACCAAATATTTTATTTATTATTTTTTGTGCAAGTATTCTTCTAAACAGTGCAGCATTATGTTTCAAGAGCACTGCTTATATGCTTTTTTTTCTTAAAGAAAGTAGCCTTCGTCGCCGTGGCGGACACGCGAAACTGCGTTGCTACAGAGCCGTACAGTTCTGCTGCAGCAAGTGCACCACAAAGCGACATTATCCCAGTGACACACGAGCAAACCTACGAGACTGCCAAGTGATTATCAAACTCAAGTGTATATTGTGAACCACACGGCGAACGTAACCTTAGAAGCTAATCATAGTTACGGCTGGACGCAACTTTCACCTTTTGAAAAAGCTACATCAACACATAACTGAACAAACCGTTGAAGTTACGTCCAGGCGTAAAAATAAGACAATGAGTTAGGTCCAGAGTGACAACAATACAAAACCGGCTTTTTAAACCCACCAAACCGATCGACAGCAGTGGCGTAAAATAGAAAAAAAAGGCAGCAGTGGCGTAGTAAGGTAACGCAGCTCGCGCACGACAGTGGGATTGTTGGTTCAAGCCCTACCAGAAATTTCTTATTCATTTTTTATGCAAGTATTTTTTTAAACAATGATTCATTATTGTTCCTAGAGCCTTCGAGATTGCAGAAGACGCGCAAAACCACGTTGTTACAGCGCCGTACAGTTTTGTTGTAGCAAAATAGTGAGTGTTAGCGACGAAAGCACACCGCGATAATATCCCAGTATGAGCGCTAGTGGGAGCTTTTCCTGTAAAGTCTGTATAAACTCTATGAGTCGTAGAGTTTCCCACAGAAAACTCTATGGCCTCAGTGACAATTCGTTTTGTGTTCCGAGGTGATTTTTCCACGTTTTTACCATTGCACCCTTAAAAATATATATACATAACGAGTCAGATGGATGTGTTTTTGTTGCTCAACAATAACCGTAATCTATATTGACCTATAA